TTTTTCTTCATCCTTCCTCTCCTTAAAAATAGTATCCTCACTTATCTTAAGTTTTTCTACTATAATATTATCATCATGGTATGTTTTTTTTGTAGGCTATTCTGTAGTAATAATATCATCTTGGTGCATCTCTTCTGTAATTGTTTCTTCAACAAGAGGGTTTGTTTTTCTCTTGATAACATTCATCGCATAGACCTTGATTAGTTTCTAGTTCAGTACTTTGTTTAGCAAAAAGGCACTCTTGGCAAAGAGCTACTTTTCCTTCAAAATTCTTTCTTAAATTTTCAATTGCTTTGCAAGTATCAAAGTCAGGTTGAGAGGTATTAAAAGATTCATTCAAGACCCATTGTAAAGTAGACTCTTTTTCTTCTGTAAACAATACTTGCTCTGCTCAAAATAGGATAGTAATTTCTTTAGAGGTCCATTCACGATTATATCTATCATCTTCTTGCTCTTCTATAGCTTTTCTATGCTTCTATATTCTTTATCAAGTAAAACTTTAACTAGATGATAGATTTGGTCTTGGTTCAAATTATACTGATATCCAGCATTTCTGGTAGACTCAGTATAATGCCTGATTCTGTTTCAAATCTTATAGTTTGGATTATATTGAAGGTCTGTAAAGATTTTATAAGCATATATGTATTTCAATTCACAGAATCACAGTTCCTCTCGTATGCTTTCTATGTTATGTATTCTTGATCTGGGTTTCTGAATACTACAAAGTTTGTATTGGATAAGGGTTCCTCTACCAAGTCCTGTATTGTAATATTCCTGGCTTCTGGGGTTTTCTGAGTCAAGAGCTTTATAGTATATTTTGTAACAAGCAGTACAAGCAAGTTTTTTTTCTAGTTTGTATAGTTTATTAGGTTGTTGAGGAGTATAGCAATTACAACAATGATGAGTTCTCCTTCTACTATGGTAGGTCATTCTTCTTTCTTCTATTTGGCCTTTGTCACAACCACATTTGTAAATTAAATTGTCAAGTTTAAGTTGGGCAAAAAAGTAGTTAATTTCGATATGACCAAATTTATTACAGCTATAGTATTGGTTATCAGGACAATCCTTAAACAAGTGAACAGTTTGTCCACAAGTTCTACAGTTATTTGATCTCTCACATTTGTTAGGGCAATTAATAAGTACATGTCCAAATTTGTTGCAATAATAACATTGATTTCTAGAGCAATCTTTGTACTGGTGGTTAGCTTGACTACAGGTTTTGCAAGATAGTTTTCTTTATCAAGATTGATAGGTAGTCCATCCTTGATCTTTATCTTCTAAAGATGCAAAAAATGCATATGTTTCATGAGGTGTTAGATATTCCTGCTCATATAATTTAAAGTCTTCAGCAGTAGTACAGGTTGGTTTCTTTTCTTTAGACTTTTCTTGCTTATAAGAAGTATCAAGAACAATCTTCTTTCCTTTCCAATAGAGAGTATATTGGTATGTTTTCCAATTATAATTGGCTTCTACTTTCTTTGACCAGTCATTACCAAGTAGAATAGAATAAGAGGTGGCAGGTACAACTTCTACATCCAAAGAGATAAGTCAACCTTGAATTCTAATAGACAAATTTCTAATAATTCCAAGAGGCCTAGAGATAGTGCCAGTAGCAGCAACAATAAGGCTTTTGGATAGTTCTTCAATTTTAAGACCTAATTCTTTTACAGTTTGGTGTGAGATTATACTGACAGAGGCTCTACTATCAATGATAATAGAGTAAGTATGATCTTGAATATCAATATAGCATTTAACAAAGGTAATAGTGCTAATGGGTTGAGGTTTAGTATTTTCTCTATTGGCTTCAGTGATGTAAGTAGTTAGAGCAATCCTAATAGAATAGTTATCCAACAATCTTTCCTAATTGTTAAAATTAGAGACAGGTTGCTTTTCAGCCATATTAATATTTTGATAGTAAAGTGATGGTGAGTGATTAGACCTGGGTCCCTATCTATTTTAACTTCAGTCCCTAGATTTGCTTTTATAATTTCTGTCTCTAGATTGGCTTCTATCTCTATAATTTCTATTACAAGATTGACTTCTATCTTTGTTTCTTCATTATTGTTGTTATTGTAATGGTTATTATTATTCTTCCTATTATTATTATTGTTAGTTCTTCTCC